GGTGGAAGGGAGGGGGATAAAACCTCATCATCTTTACTTCGTATTTGATTTTGGAGGAGAAAAAGAATACTCCCTCTGTTTCAGTTTACGTAAATCTATTTCCTTTTTGGTCAGTTCAAATAAGAATGACCCCTTTCTAAATTTGGAAATAATTTAGATTAAACTTTCAATTCGACCCTTAATGAGAAGCTTTTATAACCACACAAATACTCTGAACTCTTTTCTGAGATCACAAATTCTAAAGTTTTCATTTTTTCTTAAACTACATGCCCGGTCAAACAAATTCATATAAATTGGATCGGAAGGAAGTAGCTCAAATGACATATCTAGTTAGCTCTTGATCATTTCTTCAGTCCCTAAAAACTACTGGCACTAATCAGTTAGTAGGACCAATCATTTTCTTGGGAACTACAAGTTTCTCAAATTCATCACCAGTTACGACATTCAGATTAAGGGCGGCATCCTGCAAGTTCAAACCATTGTGCCAAATACACATTGTTTAACGCCGAGCAGCAAGTATGTACGCAGTTCTTACTCCTGTTCTTACCTCTACCTCGTGAAAGTAGGGAGACTGTTTCCGGAAGACCTTCGGCTCAATAAACCAAGCAGCAAGTATTGGTTTACAATTAAATTGCGCAGTGATAATTACCTTTAGACTGGTTCCTCTTTGTGAGCTTTTTTGGCAACTGCTGCAGCATTGTCATAACCAATTTTCTGAAATAAACAGCAGTATTGACATTCCACAATTAAAAGTGTGGAATAATATTAGCAATAAATTTGTCATTGGAGCATGGATGAGAAAGAAGAACTTTGAGCATGTTGACCGATACTTACTGAGTTCAAACATGTGACAAGCATGAGCGACTGCAAAAATGGAGGAAATGAGAACAATAGGGTCACAACATAAAACAAATGAAATAGAGAGGACTCACCATAATTTGTTTAACCATTCTACATTTACTGACCTCTCTCTATTAGCTTGGATTCCTTTAACACAATTCTTTTCGAAAGAAGCAGATGCCTCCCCTAGAAATCTCACTGACTGGCAATAACGAAAAAAGACTTCAGCAATAGTAGATAACAAAAATCTATATTGAATTATCCACGACACATATGAATTATCAATAACACAATGATTTGACTTTTTGAGTACAATAGTTCTAGTGTGACACTAGAGCATCAAGAGTTGACTCTATTCATCAAGGAAGCTCGCTCTTTCATGTAGGTTATTGTGGATCCCAAACTCCTCCTCATCTACTTTTCATTAGCAAATCTCACTTTAGAATGTAACTCTCGAAGCAAGGAGTGTGAAAAGTTCGCTCATCTCTCTCAAAAGAACATCACAAGTCCGGCTTAAGTACTATAAGCTTGCCCCTTATGTAAATCACCACTAATGTAAACTCACTCAACTTGAAATATGGTAGGGCTTTTACGGGATGTGATGAAGGCTTTTGGACCAAGGCAGAACTTGTTGGAATGTAATGGTTTCATCTTTCCTTAAGCACTCCATTTTCTCTTTTGGGCTCATACTTTCTAACTCTTTGAGTCATTTTCTTCTTCCTGGGGGGAACTAGAGAGACGTAGCATCACTTTTTCTTTTTGTTCTTTCTTTCTTTTCTTTACCTTCCCTTTTCTTCATTTCTTTCTCTTTATTGTACCTTTTATCACTTTCAAACTCCTCGTCTCTCCCTCAAACTTATGTTTTTGCCAATTGTTTCTCAAGAATGCTAAGGAAAGATCGGGTGCCAAGAGAGGGTCAATACAAAATGGATAAAGGCTTGTAACATGGTTATTGAAAGAAAAAGGGCTTCGGCTCAAAGAGGTTGACTAGGGATATCACATTGGTAGGCTATGGAAGACTTCAAATTGGATCAAGGAGAGCCCACAATCATTTCTCAAGCCAAGCTACACTTAGAATTTCGCCTAGAAAAATATTCGGGGCAAGTTCTAGACCATTAGCACGGGTACTTGGACTTATAACTAAACATCTCACGTCTCACACTTCTGGATTGCTAAAGAGAACGGAGTTGAGGGCCCACAACAATCCTAGCTAAGATTGAGAATCACAAATGGCTCGATTTGAACCACTCGATGACTGCTTAAGTCAACACAAGAGTCAAAAGGGTCACAACTAGAGATATTTTCTGCCAATAACTTATTTTTAACCATACGATTTTATTAATTACTACTATATTTGCCAAAACATAAAAGAAAACGGACTCAATCCCCTAAGAAGGTTGTCATGCCATTCATCGTTGGGAAGAGCCACCCGGTTCACACATAATTCACCTTTGGAAAGAACCATGGCATTAAGAAAACCAAAGGCTTATTGCTCACTCAGAACGTAAAAAGAAGCTAGCAAATTAAAAAGAAGCTACTATTTGTAAATAAGAAGTTATACTACTAAGAAAAAACAAACTAAAGAAGCTATGAAATAAACTACGGAAAGGAGATAAATGAATATACAAACCGAAGTCAAATGAATATATACATAAGGGAAATGAATATCAACATCAAATGGAGAGAATATATACATACCAAAAGGAAAGTAAAGATGAAAGAAAAAATAGTATCAGAGTTATTACAGGCCAAATGTCAAATGTCAAAGTCAAATAATCAAAATAGACCACCCCC